GTTGTTTTAAAAGTTTATTACGTAAATGGGGTTGTTTTGAAACTATTTACGCCTTTGGGGCTGTTTATAACGGTGTCGCTATGGGCCATAGCGACACCGGTGACACGTGGCATTTTTTTCACTTCAGGGAAGCCATGAAAGCCATATAGATAAAGTCGCTACAGCCCATAGCGTCACTAAACGGCTTAAATAAAGTCGCTATAGCCCATAGCGCCACCAAACGGCTTAAAAAAAATTAAATTCAAATGTAAAAAAAAAATTAAGTTAATAATTTAAATAAAAAAAAAGAAATGGTCAGCCGAGTCGTTACATGGGACACAAGATATGTGTTATTTTTTTAAAAAAAAAAAAAAAACTAGAGGGACGCATTAATTTTATAAAAAAAATAATTATTTTAGGATAAATATTATAAAAATAGAATATTTGATTAGAAATAAAAAGATAAATAATACACAAATACCATTATCTATCTTAATATTTAAATAACACATACACTAATTTTTTTTATTTTTTATTTAAGTTTAGGGGGACAAGACCCTCCAATTGATCAAATGAATCTGCTTTACGTGGCTTATTATTAGTCACAGTATATGAAAACGTCTTAATTACTATGTGAAAACGAGAGAACATGAGCTGGAATATAAATTTAAATATATTTTTATTTTTTAAAATTTAAAGTAATTTTATTTTTTTCCTTCAAATTTAAAAATAGTTTTTTAGTTTTTATAATTTAAAAAAATTAATTTTTATATTCAAATTTTGTCGAACTATCAAATATTGTCACATAAAATCTAGCTACTGATATTTCTATTAGTAAAAATATCATATTAAACTCAGTTAATACTGTATAATTATTTTAATTTATTATTTTTATATGTTATTGATGATTTAAGAGAATAAAATAATTTTTTTAAAAATTTACAGAAATTAAAAATTAATTTTAAATTTAAGAGAAAAAAATATTACCCTAAACTTGAGACATAAGAACATATTTAAATTAAAAAAATATATATATATATAACCAAAGTTCCGCGAGGCAAGATGGGTGCTCCAAATTAACAACACAATACTTAATTAAATACCGTTGCATTGTTCTAAACAACTACTTGTCACCTACAAACATAATTCATGCATCAAGATGTTGTCTCTTTGTATTAAAAAATATAATTCAAATTTTAATTTTATAAAAGTTATTATTTAATTTTCTAATAATACTTGTGTTCTAACTTTAAGTTTGTTTACATCATTAAGTTTACTATATCTAATTAACTTTGTGTTATATTTTTAGAAGCCTGGTATGTTGATGATGTGAAAGTGATTTAGTTGATATATTGAAACAACTTGAACTTTATTTTTATGTTAATTATATTTTCTATGATGAAGATTTTACATCAAGCACTATATATAAGTAAGAAATAATTTTCATTTTACACATCAATTTTAATTAAATTTATAATTCACTTTTTTTTTAAAGATGGTATTAATTAAATTTTACCCTACTCATTATTAATTGTTGTCGGAATTTCTGTAACACTCAAATGCATGGCTAACAAACCACCGAAAATCGAGGAGAATTAGTTAAATATCCGAAATTAACTAGTGGTATCACCAATTTTGTAAAGTTAAATATTATATGCAAAATTCACTTTCTTAAATATTATATTTTTTATATTTTCTCATTTTAGAAAATATTTTTTTTTTTAAAATAGAAAAGATTACAAAAGATAGTTACAATGAGGATTGAACTTGGGTCTTTATATTTCGAACTATTCTAATTCCTTCCCATCCAACCACTAGACTAACTCTAGTAGTCTTGAAAATAATTAAAAAATATAAAAAATATTTAATATTCTATTAATATTATAAAATGACAATTAAATTGATATTTTTTTTTTATAAAAAAAAGTCAAACAAAAATGAAGGAGAAAATATATAGGACTGCTCTCATCTACGGTATGAACTGAACTCACGCTATCGTTACTCGTGAAATATCTTTCTCCCATGTCGTGTGAGATACGATATAACTAAGGTCAGAGGGTATGGCTGCCTATACCTATCAGCATTTGGAGGCCATCAAACCTACATTATAACAATTGTTTTCATTTAAACTATTATTAGTAATTAACTAAAAAAATCATGTTCCATAGACATACATACAATACCATCTTATGTAAAAACAGTTAGCTAATGACGACTCGTCTTAATTTTAGTATTAAGTGTAAATTTGAATTTGGTGTAAAAAAAAAAACATATGAATAAAAATCATAAAGAAAATTAATGATATATATTGTTTTTAAGGTCTTTTTCTAATAACTTAATTGGATATACCCATTAATGCAGCTTTTTTACTATTTGCACCATGCATTAATTGGATATACCATCAATGAAACAACTTTTTTTGGACTTTTTAAGTTTCTACTCTAAGCTGGTTTATCACTAATTATTGGCCGGAGCTTTAATTCAAACTCATCCAAACCATATACTTTTCTTTGTACGACATGTGCCACCATCATTAATGTATCATACATGGTTACAAACAATAAAGTATTGCTATATTATATGTCATAGATCCTGGCTTGGCTTTGCACCCAATCAAATAATATTTTTTAATTTAAGTCCTACACACTTTCATTTTTCTACAAACTAGCATAATGGAGCAATTCTATGAAGAAATTGAAGAGCCAGTGAGTCCTCCAGGACAATATTTCAACAGTTCTGTGATATGTTCCTATGTTTATGGCTTTCTTGAAGTGGCAGTTCCGATTGATGATGACATACCAACTATATCCTTGCTTAGAGATGTCTTCCTCCCCATCAACCCACGTTTCTCCTCTATCATGGTTCGTTCTCTCTTCCATATGCTTTTAAATTTTCTTCAAGTCAACAAAATTTAATTATTTATACATAAGGTTAAAGTCATCATGATGTTTATATATAATATTGTTTGATACATGAGAACTGAATTTGGTATTAAAGAAATTTACAACACACATTCATTTCAACTAACTGAACTAAACTTCTTTGACAGACCCGGTATGATATAAAATAGATTAATAAGATTCTTGTAACTTGTAAGTATTAAATTAATGTTCAATTGTTAATTATGTTGTTAACTTTTGTTTATGTGCTTGCCACAGGTTAAAGACCAAAATGGTAAAATGAGATGGAAAAGAGTAGAAGTGAAGCTTGAAGAGCATGTAAAGGTTCCCAAATTTCCAGAATGCAATTCACCTGAATTATATGAGCAATATTTTGGTGATTATGTGACTAGCATTCTATGTGAAAGGACACCACAAAACAAACCACTATGGGAAATCCATATTATTAAGTATCCAACAAGCAATGCTGCAGGCACAGTAATATTCAAACTTCATCATGCACTTGGAGATGGTTACTCCCTCATGGGTGCCCTTCTTTCTTGTCTTCAAAGAACCGATGACCCTTCTCTTCCACTAACTTTTCCTTCAAGAACATCATCAAGTTCACATACAAAGAAAAGCTTGTTTAGGAGGTTACCCTCGTTTATCTCCTCTTTTTTTAACTCCATCACAGATTTTGGATCTAGCTTAATAAAGACAAGAGTGATTGTAGATGACAAAACACCCATAAGATCTGGATATGAAGGAACCGAGTCTATGCCCTTTACCTTGTCAAACATATCATTGTCTCTTGATCATATCAAAGGAATCAAGTCCAAGCTTGGAGTGGTAAGACTAGATCAATCTAGATATTATGGGAAAAAAATAGTTAATGCACCAATAATATAAGTAATTTTAGTTTAATTTTTAATTATTTTTTCTTTACTTTTAAGTTTTATCAATTTTATTTTTTAGTCTTTATAGTTAAAAAAGCTAGTTATTATATACATTATTTTTATTTCTTTTTAGTTTCTGTCTTTTATTTTTTAAAAAATTTAAAAGTCAAGTTGATAAAATTATAGAGACTAGATAAAATTAAAAAAGATGCATCTATAAACTGAAATGAGATATTTTTTACTTATAAAAACTAAAATATAAAATTGATGATATTATAGATATTAAAAGAATAATTAAATCATATCTCTAATCAGAAATCATTATGTACGATAATTTATTAATTTTTAATTATAAAAGTTAAAATATAAAATTAGTGAAACTATAAAGATAAAAAGAGTAATTAGATCTTATCTATACTGAAATCATTATACTTACCATGATTTCTGATGGACTTATATAGTATAAAAAATTGTTTCCAGCATAGAAATTAAATTCTTAACTACGGCATATATTAATTAATTTGTGTCTATTTTTGATGACATGAATGCAGACAATAAATGATGTGGTTACTGGAATGATTTTCTATGGGATTCGGTTGTACATGCAAGAGATTGATTACATGGGAAGAAAAGCAAATTCCACAGCTGTGGTAATGCTGAACACAAGAAATATTAGAGGGTACCAATCAGTGAAGGACATGCAGAAAGCAGAGGTGAAAGGTTTATGGGGGAATAAGATTTCTTTTCTGCAAATACCAATTCCAAAGCTAAGCCAATCCACAATCTCCAACCCTCTTGAACTTGTTTGGAGTGCCCAGAAACTAATCAAGAGGAAGAGAAGGTCTTTCAGTGTTTATCTCATAGGTCTGCTCTTGGATTTGGAGATGAAATTAAGAGGCCCTGAGGTGCGTGTAATTTAACTTTTAAAATTTAACTTTTAAATCGTGTTTGAAATTTAGTAAAGTAGTTTAGATTCTTGTAACTTTTTCTAGTAACTCATTTTAATAAGTTAATAAGTTATTTACCTAAACACACTCTTAATGATATTCTTTTGTTTGTTTTAGATTTTTGTAAAATTGTTTTTGAATCATTAAACATGGTAGAAATTGTAATTAGTCTAATTTTAACTGCAAAATTTATATAGAAACTTGTGTTAACGGTGTGTGGAATTGATGTTAATAGTTATTAAATCAAACACCCCCCATATTGTATAGAGAATCACCCTCATATTCATCTCCTCTAATTTATTGTGTTGTTGTTTCAGGCTGTAGCTAAAATCATCTACAAAACCCTGGGAAACTCTAGTGTTGTCATATCCAACATATTTGGGCCAATGGAACACATGTCTTTGGCAAATCATCCCATAAGTGGTCTCTATTTCACCATGACTGGTGGACCTGAGGTATTTATTTAATTTTGAGAAACTCATTCACTTAGTGAGTTTTTTTTTTTATAGTTTATTTATTAAAAATAAAAAAAATCATTAGAAATGTTTAAAAAAAATATTTCTAACTTGTATTTAAAAAGATTATCATCACATGCACTTCCTTGATTTTGGTCCAGTTATTGGAATTCCAAGCTTCTAATAATAACATGCTTATTGTGTGTGTGATTGCAGAATGTGGACATAACAATTATGAGCTATGTGAAAGTATTAAGAATCACCTTGAGAACACTAAAGGGGTTCGTAGATGAACAGAAATTCAAGTTTTGCATGGAAAAAGCTTTTGATGTCATATACAAAGCTGCTATGGAGATCTCTGAGACACCCAACAAGAATTAATTGGACATATTGTGATCATAGCATTTCTAAATTCAAGTTCTGCATGGAGAAAGCCATTGATGTCATATACCGATACAAGACACTTGATTACATTTTCAATTTTAAGAAAATAAATAAAATAATGATGTGTTATATATAGAAATTGATTAGGATCACGTAGTTATGAGCCATCTAATAATTTTTCCCAAGCTTTTAAATGCATTATCCGGATAAGAACAAAATATCAATCATTCCAGAAAGTGTCACACATATATTCAAATTAAAATTACATAGCTGCTTTTGTTGTTGTTGTTGTTGAGAAAATTAATCATGTAGGTGCTTCATTATTGTATCTTAGTTTTGGAAAATATATATGATATAATATGAAGGTTGTTTAAGGCAATGAAGATATAGAACGGTGGAACTATTCAAATGTTGTTCCTCTTATTATTAAAAAACTTGCCACGTCATGCTCATTTATTTTGGTGTGGAAAATTTTCATTTAATTGAACATATATATATATATTTCTTGGGTCAAGTGTAAGCTATGGAGTAAATTTCGTTTTCTCCTATAGTATTTATAGAATAATTCTTTTTCTTTCAGATAATCTTTTTGAAATCTTATGTAATCTTTTACTTGAACTTTTTTAAAAAAAAAAAAATTATTTAGACTTTCTTTTTCGAACACATTTCCACTATGTAACTAATCTTCAAAGGTGAAAGGTTAAAAAATTTGTTAACAATCTACTTTATAACACATTTTTTTAACATATTTTTTTTCAACAAAATTCATCGAAAATTATTTATTTTTTTTTAATTTCACTTTATATTTAATGAATTTTTTTTTGATTGTATAAATTTTAATAACTGTTAACCGACGTTAAAATGTGTATTAATATAATTGTGTTTGAAAAATGTATTGTAGAACACTTTCCTAAAAAAAGTTTAATTTTTATGCATTAATAATATAAAAAATATTTTAACAAACAATATAATTATAAAGTGTGTTTAAAAGTGTGTATTATCTATGTTTCACTTTATTTTATACATTTGAAACAACTAATTAGATAAAAACTTTTAGAGTTAGGCAATTAACTAACTAATTATCTCACTACCTATTAATTTATTACAAGGTTTATTTTTTGCGGCAAACTTACAAAATTTGATGCAACACAAATTAGTTTACTTCCTAATGAAATCTCTTAAATCATCCAATTTTATCCGTAACATCAAAGTTCCATACCAACAAGCTAAAGGCAAAATTAGTTTTTTTTTTTTTTTTTTCATTGTGTATACAAAGGTTAATATATACTTGGGCTACTCTTAAGATATATTTTCGAAAAAGGTAGTTTTAATAAAATTTAAACACAACATTTGGATTTGGTACTTGACAAAATAACCCCACAAAACTTAGCAGAATTTATGTAAGTTTTACCTAATAATAAAAATATATTATTAAAAGGATGGGTGAAAGAAAATATAGATTACTAATATTTAAAAATTATTGAGTAATCTTATCATCAATATACTATTATTTAACACAATTTTTAAAAACACTTTTGTGATAGAGTTCAATAAATGTGAAATGAAACATCACAACGCTACCATTAAATAAAGGTGGTGGCATTATGTCCACGTACGTAATTGTTGAGCATATCTTCTAGTCTTCTCCGCAGCTTCCAAATGGGATCGTTACATTCTTTTTTCTTTAGAACATCCTCTTGTCGGTTAATGACATGGCCAAGTCATAAATGAAAAGCCTTCTCTTAATAATATTTTTGCATATTCATTAGTTTCTTCATAATAAAATTCGATGACACGTAAAAAAAGTAATTAATATAATGATACATATTTTATAATAATATATTATTTATTATTAAAAATTATTTTTATCTAATACTAAGAATATAATATATGTTAATATATTAGTAAAAGTATATGTATAAATTATAGTGATATACAATATGTTATTAATATTAAAATTATATATAATTATATGTTAAATAAATTACACTGTACCTTAATTCCTAATTAATGGAAGAAGAAAAATGGACATGCTGAAGCATTTGAGAAATTAGATTTTGTTATATTGTAAATTGAAAATTTTGATTAAATAAAACTTATGTATTAGTCTTAATAGAATTGAGTAATACTTTTTATAAAAAAAATTGAGATATATGTTAAAAATATTTACTTTGTCAACTAGCTAACTAAGAATTATATTAGTATGACTTTTGAGTAATTACTAGAAAAGTTAATAAACTTGTTATTTATGAAAGTTTTTGTGGTTTTTTGATGACTTTGTAAAAGGAATTTACATTGTCATGCACACATTATTTACTTAAAAGGGAGTTAATCAACTTCAGTTTTGATTTCTATTTTATATTTGTTCCTAACTTTTATAGAAAAAATATTTTTTATTTCTTGCTGATAATTTATGGTGTGTTCAAAATGATGGAAAATAAATAAATGAAAAATAAAGTGCAACAAAATATAATAAATACAAATAGATAAGAAATCAAATGAAAATAAGAATGTTTGATTTAAAATAAATATGAAAGATAAAATTAAAACTATTATTTATAAATCATTTAAATTTTTATTTAATTAATCAAACAAAAAAATTGAATGTTGAATCATGTTCATCAAATTGGGGTATAGAAACAAACATTTGATTAAATGTTGTATCATTTTTTATTTTTTTTTACCCTGATTCTTATTATCTTCCTTCAAGAAATCTATAGCATTTGGATTTCAAACATTTATGGGGTTAGATATTTAATTTTTTCATGTTAAACGAAAATCATACAACTACATAAAGAAATTTAAACAATTTATAAATAAACACACAAAAAGTATTATAGAATTTTATAGTTTTTTCCAAAATATTCTAAAAATCCTTTCATTATCTCACAATTTAATTAACATTAGAAAAACTAAATTTACCATTAAATTCCTCATCCAAAAAACATAGGAATAGACCTTTTAATTATCTCCTAATTATTTTAATTATAATTATTTAAAAATTCTTTACTTATCACAATTTGATTAGTTGAAATTTATATTTTACTTTTTCTTAGTTAGATAATTATATTAATTATTCTAAACATAATACAATTAAGATAAAATCCTATGTGTAATATTGAACATTTTTCTATAATTTTCTAATTTAATATTTTAGCAAAATAAATTTTGTAAGTTAAATTCTTAGAACATTTTGGTAAATTTTAATTTTAAGTTTTTCTCTCATAATTTATTCTTAATTTACTCTTAATAAACTATCATTTAAGTTATAGATTGCTTAAATTTTCTTAAATCTAATTTCTCACATTTTACAGCGTTTCACAGCATTGTCCAAAAAATAGTCAAATTTGACAATAAAATGCATGTCACTGGATTTAAAATTTTTTACTGAAAAACACTACATAAAATTCATTCACAATAAACTTACATAATATTTATCATATATTTATTACAATAAAACATATAATAATTTACAGAAAATTATACAAATAAGTAATATTAAAATTAAGGTGTTACACCAGCACCCACCATCCTTTGCCTAGCTCCCTCCCACTAGAAGTGAGCATCATCCACCAGTAAGAAGGTTGCCAGACTTGCTTTCTGGACCAATGGGCACTCCATAGTAGCGAAGATCTTCTCCACCTTGGTCATCCATCTTATAGCACCATCAGGGTCATCAACCCTTCCTTAAACTCAGGTGGGTTTTGGCGCTAAAAGTGCTCCAACTAACTAGGAGTAGTAGTAGCGTCATTGTCTTGGGATAAGGAGACTACATCAAATAGAAAATAAGTTCAACCAAATACTCATAATTGGTTCACTTTGCTTATCTACGTGATTAAGTAATTAACAATATATATGATTGTTAGATTTGATTATTCTAGATGTGGCTTTCGTTGGTAGGTAATTTGTAAATGCTATTGAAAGCCTCGATCGGTCTAGCAACTATTGTATAAGCATTAAACTATTTGTGGCATTAGGAACTGACAACACCAAGTTCAATTATGTATATATAAGTGACTCACAAGTCACAACAGTATGATATTTGCTTAGTAGACAATGAGTTAGGTGATGAAAATGAGCATGCACACATAGCTTAAATTAATTATTTGAATAACATTATGTTTTTAACTACAAATGTAATGATAGGTGGCCTACAAGTGTTCATAAGTGTCACTTCAAGAAAAGAATAATTGAATACTAGACCAAGTTAGTCACGTACACATTTTTCACTAATAGAAGTAAACTTAAGTAGTTTAATATTTAGACTACTTAATCAAATATTATCTGTACTATTTTACTCATAATAATAAACATAATGTTATATTTAACACATCGAAGTGTCAATTTTCAAAGAATGGTATGCCTTCAGCAATTCAATGATAAAAGTAAAAATGTCAAATAAACTCATGCTAATGAATAATGTCTAAACTTATTTTAATTTTAATAAAAAAATATTTGATTTAATCGAATATAGGTACGAGTATAAATAATATTTAATTTATTAAAATAAGTATGAGAATATGAATATTTATATATTTATCTGTCAAATATTTATATTTGTCTTTTTTTCCATTCTCGCTTTAAATTTTTAAAAACTTAATTTATTATTTTAGAATTTACTTAAGATTTATGCACTTTTTATTCTATTTTAAATTCATGTTAGATGAAATTTAATTAATATAATTATATAATTATTATTTTATGTTAAAATAAATTTTTATATACATTTAAAATATCTAATTAATTTTAAGTGATATGAAGCATGATATAAATATATTCAATATCCAACGGAGATAAGAATGAAATACAAATTCTATACTTATTTAATATAAAAACAAAAATAAATAAATAAATATATATATATATATATATATATATTCAACAAAAGATAAGGTGTTAAAAAAATAAAAATAAAACAACTCAATCGAATGAGACAATATATAAGAACAAAGTAAAAGTTA